ATGACTGTATCACAATCAAATCACTCATTCTGTACAATAATATTGTATATTTCAAGTTTAGGCTTTCCTGAATGTGACTGTTATATGTTAACTTTTTGTCTTTAAGGGAAAATAAACATGTTAATTTTGCACTGAACCAATATCCTTAGAAAATATATGTATATGAAAGACTCCATCAAGCAATGGTAACAATAAAGATTTAGTATTCATTTAATTCTTATGTTAATTTGAACTTCTAATACTCTTAACAAAATTGGTTGCTTCTATATTACAAGTATACTGCTATTTCACTTTTAATGGGTTTCATTTGACACTTTGGATCTAATATTTTAATGTAACCAGATAGTATTGTTTGATTTTTAAAAAATGTTCTGAGTACCTGTGACATTTCCCGACAGTTCTACAGCTAACACAAAGGTACAGAGCTGGATAAGATAGGAACTTGCCCTTGAAAAATTCAGTATATTGAAGAAGACAGACTAATCAAAAACAACTGAACCATGATAGGCTATGGTGTACAATATAAATATGATACTCCATAATAATACAAATAAGTGAAATTCATTTGGGAATGACTCAATTCAATGAACAAAAATAATATACAGTTGGTTTATTTAATTATCTCACTTTCTGGAATTTGCTTAATTAGTAAGTAATACTGACAGTCTTATACACAAGGCATGAAAGTTTTGTGCATGAGATGTTAAATCTTCTCTTTAGGTTTCTGCTATGTTCTGCAATTGTCCCATTACAGACAAAAAACAAAGGCAGAGAGCAGCTTAAGAATTTTGTTCAAGAACAAGTAATTATTAGCAGTAGTATTTCTATTTTACAGATGGATCCACAGACTCAGGTCCTAGCCACGTCACATAATATTAAGTCAGAAAACAAGGGTCTTACATCATACATTTGCTTCTGTTCTTTATAAAATTATTTGAGATGAATTTGACAAATCATAGACAATAGTAATAACTGTTCTCTAGAATACTTCTCTTTGTCATTGAACAGTAATGAACTTTGGTCTATGCAGTTTATGCACCCACACTGAAAGAAGAAAAGATCGCTTGTGTCTCTTATCCATTTGACAGGGGGTAAAATGGCAGAATCTTTCTAAATGTCAATTTGTTAGTTGGGTAAAATATATAAAAAGGATGTTAGGGGCTGGGAAGGTGGCTCAGTGGCAGAGAGCTTGCCTTGCATGCATGAGGCCCTGGGATCAATTTCTCAACACCACATAAACAGAAAAAGCCGGAAGTCACTCTGTGGCTTTAGTGGTAGAGCGCTAGCCTTGAGCTGAAGAGCTGAGGGACAGCATCCAAGCCCAGAGTTCAGGCCCCACAACGACAAAAAAAAAAAAAGGATGTTAGATGTATAAAATTAACAACTGGGTTCTGTGTTCCATTGCCCTCACTGGGGACATTGTAGAGCTGGGACACTGATACAAGCATAACTTGTCTAAGATAGCTCACAATACCCATCCAATGCATTATTGGACACCATGCAAATAAAGCTTACTTCCAATTTTAAAATAAGATAGCCAGGGTCAGTGATGAAAAAAACCTTGTTTCTTAAATAAAATTTCCTAAATCTGTTCATTCTTTATTTGTTCAATAAAAATTTCAATTAATATATTTTATAGGTCTGGGAAAATAATTCATATAATAGAGTATCTGCCTATCAAGCCAGGATTCTGAGTTCAAAACCCAGTATCACACCTCAAAAAATATTTTTAGAAACATTTTGTGATACTAAATACAGGGGGCAAAAGAATCAATTTTACATAAAACACAAAGTAAAATCTACCAAAAAAAAAAAAAGAGCCAAAGAAAAACAGCACATTAAGAAAAAGTATTACTGGGCTCCAGTGGCTCACACCTGTATCCTACCTACTTAGGAGGCTGAGATTTGAAGATCATAGTTCAAATCCAGTCCAGGCAGGAAATATATATGAAACTTTTATCTGCAATTAATCACCAAAAAAAAGCCAGAATTGGAGCTGTAGCTCCACTGATAGAGCACTAGCTTTGACCACCAAAGCTCAGAGACAGTGCTCAGGCATTGAGTTTAAGCTCAAGGACCTGCAAAAAGAAAAGAATTAAAGGAAAAGAAAGGAAGGGAAGGGAATGGAGCAAGAAAGAAAGAGAGAAAAAAAGAGAACAAGAGAGAGAAGGAAAGAGAAAGAGAAGAAGGAAGGAAGGGAGTTAGGGAGGGAGGGATGGAGGAAGGAAGGAGAGAAGGGAGGGAGAGTACTGAGGCATTACTATAATTTCAATCTAACTTGTGTCCTAGATCATCTGTTGGGAATCTTGTCACTTTGGGTGTCATGGAGCTTTTAAAAGATGGGCCTAGAGAGCCAGGCAACAGTGGGTTACACCTAGACTGGGGAGGCTGAGATTTGAGGAAAAGCCAGAAGTGGTGCTGTGGCTCAACTGGTACAGTGTTAGCCTCAAGCACAAAGAGGCTCAGGGACAGTGCCTAGGTCCTGAATTCAAGCCCAGGACGAGCAAAAAAAAAAAAAAAAAGGATGGGCCTAGTGGCAGTTCTTCAGGTCATTTCATGAGGGATGACTCAACCGATTCTCTTTCTCTTTTTATCTGTCACTTCCTTGTCATGGGAGACACAGTTTTGCCTCAGCACTCACTTTATCAGTGATGTACCACCTTGTCACAGACCAAAACTAATCATGGACTGACATGTGTGAAACTGGGAAGCACAAGAAGTCATTTCTCTTTATAAGCTTGTTAAGGCACAGAACGTTAAGTAATACAAACATATAAACTAAATAAAGTCTAATTTTCTTAATTCCAAAAAGAAAATTCAAACAAAAAGAATAAGTTCTAAAATGCAATCAAGTGATAATGATTAAACAAGACATTCCCTGAAAAAAGTCAAAATTTGAAAATATAGTATCATTCATCTCACTCATAATAAATAACTGAAAATATAAGAAACCTACACCATCCATAATATCCAAGAATATTAATTTGCTTTCTACTTCCCACAGTTGACAAGAAGTGGGAAATTAGTATTTTCAGAGCTAAAACATGAAATTGGAAAAATGCTCAACATCAAGAAGAAAGCTGTTGGACTTTGAGAAATAAATGATGAATAAGTACAAATTTTCAGATTCTTTCCAGCAGATGCTATCTTTGTGCATGTAATTTAATAGACTTTTGTACACACTAATTAACTTTTAACTAGATAAATCTGAGTTTTAACTTTAGTGCTTAGCCTGAGCTAAAATAGAGCTCTAGCTTAATGTTATAATTTGAGCAAGTTCTGAGAAAGAAGGTCAAGGGAACAAAGAGTATACTACAAAAACTTATCCACCAATAGAACCATGTTCTATATATCCCCAATCTCTGTCACAATTGATTTTATTCATAGTCTGAGTAGACTGGAGAGATGTATCTGGGTCTACAAGGACAAAGCCTAATAATCTGAGATCGAAGCACAAGCTATACCTGCAAGAAGGTGAATTAAAAGATATTATGATGGGGGCTGGGAAGGTGGCTCAGTGGTAGAGCGCTTGCCTTGCATGCCTGAGGCCCTGGGTTCAATTCTTCAGCACCACATAAGCAAAAAGAAAAAAGCTGGAAGTGGCACTGTGGCTCAAGTGGTAGAGTGCTATCCTTGAGCTGAGGAGCTGAGGGACAACACCCAGGCCCAGAGTTCAGGCCCCACGACAAGACCCAAAAAAAAAAAAGATATTATGATGTCAGTCACTATGTGGTTGTGGGAATATCACTAAAGCACTTACACAGTTTTCAGGCTCTTGTTTTGGAAAATTAGATCATGTTTCCATATAATGAGAAAGCTTGCATTGTGTAAAAGTTTTATTCTTAAGCCAGAATTCCTGAGTTTGACTGTCAATCTGTTCCCATCTAACACGTTAGCGTGCATGAATAGTAAACCCCTAGATTCTTCATAGTTTCTTGGTAACCGCCTATATCTGTTTCTCTACAAGTAGAATGAAGACAAGGCACAAACCTCAGAGAGCCAATGTTAAACAGAAGAGTCAGATATATATGCAATACATAAAACAAGCCTAAGTCAAAGCTAGACTCCTTAACACTACTTCTCCTCGGATTGAATGATAGCTCTGTAACTTGGTCCTCATTGGCCACTCAGCACCCAACACTGTGACCAGTCTTTTCCTCACAGATGTTCCTATTTCCTATTCTATATTTGATTGATTTACTCCGTACAGTTTTGTTCCTCTCTAGTTCCTTCCTGCATGTCATACATACACAGAGGGAACTAACAACAGGAAAATGTTTTCCAAGTATCTTCAAAACTGAACTAAGTTTCCACATGTTACTACTTAGCAATATAACAATAGTAAACCAGTTTCTCTGAGATTGGGGGTAGGAAATGCAGTAATCACACTGAGGGGTTGGAGATAGTCCTGAGATCTTTCTTAGAAGAAGAGTTATAGGAAACATTAAACATCAAGAATCACTCAACTAAATGGTCAATGCAGATTATTATCCAATGTCTTAATTTAAAAATTGTCAAAAATTCTTGAATGAAATGGTAGCTGTAAGATACACGGCTGAGTGGCCATTAAAACTGTGGGGTAATAGAAGGAAGACAACTCTTTACATCAGCAGGTCCAGGGGAGTGCAGCTCTACCTCTTAGCAGTCAAGATAACTTGAATAAGATATCTAACCTCCCCAAATGTCAGTTACTCACCTCCTAACAACATAAGAAAATCCCCCCAGGGCTCAATACATTGTAGCTTTAATTAATGCAACTGCTGAAGCTTGCCAGCAAATGACTTCTTCAGAGCTAAAGAAAAGACTGAAGAACATTTATGATCACTTAAAAGTGATAAGCTTTTCATACATAAGCTTTCACCATGTGTATATTACACTTGCCACATACAGCATTACAAACGAAATAACTGGCTTCAAAAACCTCCAAAAATTCCTTGGAGTCAGACTTACATAATTTATTGACAGTCTTGGATAACAACTTCTTGATTTGATGAACTTACCTGTAACAAAAAGTCAAAGAGAGCCATCTTGGACCACTCGTAGTGATGGATTTCAGTACAGTCCCACTCAGGTTTGGGGACCTTGCCATTCAGCCAGCAATTCTGTTTCAGCAATCGTTGATAAATTCCCCAGGTGAGCTTAACTGAAGAATGGGTGTCATTGCTTACTGGAGCTAAAGATGGGTCCCAGAGAATAGCAGGACATGGGTGGCCATCTGTGGAAGCAGAAAAGCAAACATAATGTGAGCAGGTGATACTATGGACTGCACACCTGCCCTTGGGCAGGTCATTCACTCCTCTGCAGCCTCACTCTCTCACCTATCTGGTGCAAGAGATTGATAGACATGTTTCATGGTCTTGTGAATGTTTGAATACCTTAACAGCAATTCTGCTGTAGTGTTATAAAGTGGAAAGTTACTATAAACAATGAATTTTTTAATAAGACAATTTATAGATGTGGCAGGAATAGGCTACTAACCATCAATAGCAACGTAATATAGTTAATGTGGTTTTATTCCACATCTACAAGCAGCCACTACAAAAAAGGAAAGAATACAGACTTTTATTGTCTATTCAATGTCTGAGTGAAGTTGCTCTATATCTGTAATAACAGCTGTCTGATTTCCTGAGGCCACATTAAAATATCAGGGGGGAAAAGGATTTTTAGAAATCACAATTTCAAAGAGAAATTGTATGGTTCATACCAATAACTGTAATCTCCAAAGAAAAGGAGCAGTCCCAGATTGATTTTCTTCTCTAATAGAAACCACACAAGCACAATGGTGCTCTGAGGAAAATGTATTCACACACATCTTCACAAAGTGTACTTAGCAAATGTCACTTATTCAACTTCATGTGCATGGATAATGTGTTTTAAAATTTGTTGTCGCTCAGATTGCTTTTTGTCTCACTCTTGAGAGTTTAGCAATGCAATGTCTTTTATTGCAAAACTGTGTAAAGAATGACAAGCCTGATTAAAGTCCTTATAACAAGAAAGACCATGATGGGGCCCACTGAACATCACTTTAGGCTGAATATCAACATCACTCTCAAGCCCCCATTTCTTCCAAATAAAGGCACTGAGGGAGTACTCAGCAGTTTGCTCACAAATTAAAAATTGGACTGATGATCTTGAAAATATAAGAAAAGGAACAGCTACATTACAAAGATCCGAAAGGCCCACTTAACTCATTCCGAACAGGCCTGAACAACACAGTCCTCTGAAATTACAACTGGAATGTCCAGACATGCCCCAAGAATGTTTAGCAGCTCTTGGAAGAAGCCTCAGATGTTCTCAGTCTACAGCCTTCTTCAATGTTTCCTTGAAACTTATTTCACTTCCCTTCTTGCTTGCTTTCTTGTGGAGTTCTTATCTACAGGAAACAGTCATCTTCTCTAACCATACTTGAAGTTGGTGACACACTAATCACAATCATTTCACTAGCATTCATCTAATCATTCTAAACACCCACATTGCAGTTTTGTTCAAAAGAGAACTTGTTCTTTTCACCTTGCAATTTGAGCCAGGGTATGTGTGAAGTCCTTTGGATCATGCAAAATATGTTACACTCGCTGGCATAATTAAGAGAAAAATAAAGGAAGAAACTTGAATCAGCACTAAAGAATTTTACTTGTACTGTCTCTCTCCTTTCTACTTATTTTTATAAATTCATTTTACTAAATGATCTAGGATGGTCCTAAATATTTCTATTAGATATAGAATTGTGATAAATGTGTATACCCCAAATACTATGCCAGTTAAAAAGAAAGAGAACATGGGAGGGAAAATTGTAGGGAAATAGAGAGAAAGAAAGAATACATTCAGGTAAAATTCAAGAGCGCCATATATCAATGTCTTTGGGCCAAAGTTTACATGAATAGTGTTTTGGATTCCTAGGGTTTAAAAGTATTCAACGGGGCCTTAACGCTAATATTGAATTTCAAAAGCACACATTAATGTACAGAATAGGCAAGACATCATGGTTTTCTTGGTAATTTATAGAAAACCCCCAGAGGTACAAGAAAATGCTGTCCAAGAAAAATCACAAATTCCTGGGCTATTTTCCCATTCTTTAGAAGCATTTGTTCCCTTGTAAAAAATAATTACAAGTAAATCTTTTCATTATAAGAAATATGGAAGGGCTGGGAAGGTGGCTCAGTGGTAGAGCGCTTGCCTTGCATGCATGAGGCCCTGGGTTCGATTCCTCAGCACCACATAAGCAGAAAAAAGAAAAACCAGAAGTGGTGCTATGGCTCAAGTGGTAGCGCGCTAGCCTTGAGCTGAAGAGCTGAGGGACAGCTCCCAGGCCCAGAGTTCAGGCCCCATGACTGGACCAAAAAAAAAGAAAGAAAGAAATATGGAAAAACAAAATGCATAGCACAGAAATCAAAATCATTGATAATTAGTAAATCGTTCTATTATTTGTATATTTACTTCTAGCGGTTTCTTACCTCAGCTATTCACATCTATTCAAATGGCCTGTAGAAACTTAGACATACAGCTAACATTTGGTTTAAGCTCAGCTCAGACTATGGAAGCAACAAGATCTTTTGAGTTATATTAATGTTCCTTCTTAGCTTTATAACAAGAGCTCATGTGTTAGGATTAAATGATACCATGCACTTAAGCCCTTATCATACTTGCATGATGAAAACTTTCAGGATGCTTTCATCTGGCTTTTTGAACTCTACAGTACTTAATGTTATCCAATCTATGGTGTTGTGGCAGGTATGACATATATGCTAAGCCTGATCTAAATATTATACAATGCCCATATGTTAACAAAACACATATACTTCCCTAATATGTAATTATAATGTTTTCATGTATCCCTTTCATTGTTAAAGGGAGAAAAATATATAGAGAAGTCAACATATAAACAATACTCTTAACCCACGCCACTGGAGAGCTCTGGCAGCATTGTATAATGACTATAACAACATATATGTCACATAATGTATCCGTCTTTAACTGATCTTTGTTGCTTATTGAACAACTACTATGTGACAGAAATGATCTACAACCTGAAGCTTAAATTTGTAAATAAATGCCTTTTTTTCCTCCTGGGGATTATATTTTTATCAGGGAAAAGAAGCAATAGTTGTATAATTCTTGTACATACTATTTATATAGATAGATAGATACATGCATACATATATATATATAGTTTGTCAGAATTTCTTCATTAAATATATCACAAACACATTTCATGTTGTAAGATAATAATTGTGATGTAGGAATGTAGCACCATGGTGAGCAAGTTCAGTAAAGGGCAACTGCAACTATTTTAAGTTTTGAGAGCCGCAGAGCCTTCTTCAGAGCCCTTAACTGTGTGACTACCTATTTCCATGTCAGTAAGCACCAATACAGTAGCAGACAATAACTAATTGGTTGTGACTAACCCAATAAGATTCCATTATGACCACTGAAAATTGAATTTCATGTCAGTTTCAAGTGTCACTCATTTAAAATTGTAGAAACTCTTCAGTTCATAAACTAAAGCTAAATAATGTGCTATCTTGGTTTATATGTTAGAACTCCTTCTAGCCTAGTAATTGACTCTATTTTTCTTACCTTTTCTCTACTTTAGTAACCCAAGTTGTATAAATGGCTTATTTTCTATCCATAATTAAAAGGTGATTCTCAAATTGCCAATGATGGTGGCTGATAGGAATGATTGTATTTTTTTCCATAGTCATCTAGCAATGCATTGAGAATACTGAATACCAGGTAAAGACACTATTTCCTGCCCAGCAGATCTGTGCATGTTAGGAAAGGGGATTCCCAGAGAATACAAAGAAAGTAGGGAAGTATAATACCCATATAGCCCTGGGTGGCAAGGCCTCCTTCCTGTGGTCCTTCTGAGGTCTTGCCATGTCTGGATGCCATGTCTAGCCCTGAAAATGATCACAGTAGTCACTGTGGCTCCAAAACTCAGAGCAAGTTTCGAGTACCACTATGAGGAGAATTTCATTATATATATTTCTCCAGCTTTAAAAAGAATCAAATGAAGTTTGATAGATCTGAAATGATGACATTAAAAAAATAACCTCTGAACACAGGAGCCTGATTAAAGCAACTTACCCTGAAGTGTTTCAGAGACAAATTCATCTCTTCACATTCCACTTTGTCAAAATGATGCAGTACTGTGCTCTCCAGAGAAATTTAACAGTGAAGACATAAAATTCTGACTGTCAGAGTGGTGAGAAAGCAGGTTTTAAAAGATATGTGGGTGTTCATGTGAATTAAAGGTTATATGGCTCTCTTAAAAAATAAGACTTGCCAGAAAAACTTTTGCCCAATATCTGCATATTTCTCGTCATTTTTTTGTTTAAAAGTACAAAGAGGACCATTCTTTTGAAACAATGAACATAAAACTTAAGCAGGAAGGTATGCTTCACACAATCTCCTTTGTCTCAATGAATTAAGTATCTGCCATTCATTCTATCATTGGCCCACTGGCTTTGCTGAATTAGAGGTGAACACAGAATACTGGATGGAGCTGTGAATGTCTGATTGTAATCAGCACTAAGCAAAAATAAGCAAAAATGTCCTGAGCTCAGAAATTAAAAGTCCTTTCTACCATATTGATTAAATTCCAAAACTCCTTGTAAATCAGATACATAAAACAAAGTGATAATCCAGCTCAGAACCCTTCATTAAAACAACTCTGTAAGCTCACTAAAGAAAACCAAGGCCAGTCAAACCTTGTGGGATACCTTCGGTAAGGGAAACAAAACAACTGGCAGCAAGAGAGTAACAGCAAACATATATATTACAGTCTCCCATTGCAAAAGGCAATTGTTAATGCTCATGCAGCTCCATAGTATCACAAAAATCTGGATATTAATGACACCTTAAGTACTATTAGCTCTATTTTTCTTCAGTGCTTATCTTAGTAGGACAATTAAGAAATAATAGATTGATGAGAAAAAGCAGGTCAAATCTCTTGACTTAAAGTGGATCAATGTGCATGTTGGTAAGCAAGAGAATAGGCAGAGCAGAAATTCAGGATTACCTACAGGATCCAGAAATAAGTGACTTTGAAAAATCAGATGAAATTTTACATGTACTCAGGATTTTAAATATTGTTAATTTACATTGTTAATTCATTAAAGAAGTGTTTGCAAGCACTCCTATTATTTGTATCTATTTGGGCCCTAATTTTTGCTTGGATGGAAAGAATTCAGAGTGATATGTACTAAAAATAGAGAC